ATCTATAATTGTCATTTGTTTATTTCATTTCGTCCTGACCCCGTAACATTCTAAACATATTAAAATTTACGAATATAATTTAGTTTTCGCCAGAATTACAATTTAAATATCAAATCGTAACAAAATTTTACTCATGACGGATATAGCCGTCATAACACAAAATTCTGCCATTCTTCCATGACGGATATAGTCGTCAAACACACTTAACTGGTTAAATTCGATGATCCCAAAAAAAGTTCCTGTCCAGACCCAACATTTTCAGACTCTCGCACACCCTATCAATCACTCTTTCATTAACGTCCGACGAATTATTTATTATGCATTTTGGTGGGTAGATTGGAACGAAGAGTTCAGTGGACGATCTGTTACCGAAGTCCGACGAACTCCTGACGCAGACGCAGAGGCAGGAAAGGGCGATCAATGAGATCCATGCTGATCTCAGATCGAAGACGAATAAGATCATCGAGAATTTAGAAGGTGTCGAGAACAGGCTTCGAAAGCAAGAGGACGACGTCGCCAGCCTTGCTCAACGTCCGATCCCAGCGGAACTGTTGCTCGACCCTACGATCGACCGGCTCGTCGAATATGATTCAAGTAGGTCAGTTTTTTTTCTGTTTCTTATTTATTTCCCCGAACGTCTTTCCCTTGGATATTACGTACGACTCTCATGCAAGATCAAGATTTATTGGGTCGACGCAGAAGCTTTTGCCTGATTTTAAGGATGTATTGGCTATACAGTCAATCCCAAAAATTTATGTACTTTAGAAAAACGCATTTCCTATAATTAAGAAGAAATCAGACGTTGGAAGAATAATGCTAATAATAAATAGCTACGTGCTAAAAAGTATAGAAGGAAATATCCAATTAAGTATTGATGCTGACGAAATTTTTTTTTTTCAAAATTGCGAAAAATGCTTCAAATAAAAGTTGTTTTCCTTCTAACTTCGATATTTAACGAGTTACGTATGATTATTTGGCATTTTATTGATGTTGACAAAATCCGACCATCCCAGCGTCGAAATGGCGAACTTTTGACAAAAAATTTCGTTTTTCCTCAATAACTCCTAAACCATTGGAGATGCAGGAAAATTGCATACGACCTTTCTTGTAG